AAAATTAAACAATTCCAAATTAGATCATAAACACAACCCAAAGATTAGATCTCAAACTTATATTAATCACTTGTTTCTTAGACGGAAAAAATCTATATCTATATCTAATACGAATACATATACTATGTACAAGTATCCGATACTAATATATGTACCGGAGAAGGATAAGGTGTATATGTCAAAGGGGTTTTTTCAGCAGATTTTTTAATCACTTACTTTGTTAACTATATTGATTATAAATGATATCAATATATTCTTCTATCACTTCTAGATAGTGATGGCATTAGACGTCAGTACCCAACCTTAGCATTTTTGATGGCAAGTCTTTTTTATAAAGTACTACCCACACCAATGTACGATTTAAGCAAATGTAGTCTGCATACATTGAGCATAAGAATTTCCAATATCATTTGAATACGATAGGATTCTCATCTAAGATTAGTATAGGATTAATTTACTGTCACCACAAATTGATTTTTACTCAACGCAATGAAAAATTCTGCAGCATTAGAATTCTTACCCAGGATAATCAATATATATAAATGGAAAGCAAAGTTTTGCCTCTGTAGTTGTTGAAAGCTTTATAATTTTTTTATAATTTAATCAAAATATCATGCCTGAACGGAGTACGTAGTTCCTCGGTTTGTTCAGCTTACGCTGGATCACATTTAGAATATTCTACATAAGTTATAGTTTTCTAGGAACTCGTTACTTTTTGGTGATTTTTTTTTTCTTTATTGGTAGTGTATATTCAATATAGCGAAATCCATTCGCCGTATATGTACAGTGTATCAGACAATATGTTTCTCTTGTTCAGTGTAACAGTTTTGTCACCATTGATAAGCAGTTCTAGCGGATAGGTGATTGCTTCGCTGAAATATTTCATCCATCTGAGTAGTTGCTTATCATTATCCGTATTCGTAGGTTGATATTCTCATCTTTGATGGGCTTTTTCTGTTTTTTAAAAAGATACTGATAATTGTTTTTAGTTAAAGCCATTAATAAATAAAAGTGAAGAGTTAGGAGTTCCCTGATTAATCCATCTCTTAGAACTTAAATTTCTGTGTTATTTATAATTTGATTAAAATCATTATAGCAATATATCTATTATCTATGTCTTTATCTACCTAGAAACATAACGCTATAATTATTTATACATTTATATCTATTATTATATCTACATCTATAATTTATTATGCGTAACGTTTCTTATATATTATGGGGAAAAACGAGGCAAAGCTTATGTCACCGATGTTCACAGTTCGTACATCTACATAATAAGTATAATAATAATAATAGTAATACTTAGGGTATATACTTAATTTAAATGCTTTATGTTTTGTTCCGGCTTAAATTACTTAATTTAAAGCTCTTTCTTCTTGGACTTTCAAATCAAAACAGGTCCTTGAGTGATACGAGATCCTGCAATCACTTGCAGCTCGGAGTAAGGTAAGCCTTTACTGGGTTCCGGGCCACAAGGGAGTTTTGGTAAATGAAAAAGCTGATGAGCTAACCAGAACTGCATCGAAAACTGCTTTTATAGGCCCTCAACCCTTTTGTGGAATAAACTGGGCCAGTACAAAACAGATTATCAAGGAAAGGAAAAATCATGTTGGAGTATTGGAAAAACTGTCCAGGACTCAGACAAAGCAAAGCACTGATAACACCGTACTACTGCAAAGACATTCCTAAATTCTCAAAATGTAATTTAAGTTTAGTAACAGGTTTCATACAGATCATTATGGTCTGAAATATCACCTTCATAAACTACAATTATCTGCTAACTCGGAATGCAGATTATGCCTCGAAGATGAGGAAACGACCATGCACATTCTTTGAGACTGTTCACCTTTAATAACGCACAGAAGAAACCTGTTTCATATGGAATCTCTATCACCATAGCAGGTTAAGAGCTCTTCTCTAGATTCCGTTCTAGATTTTGTTCTTTAAAGCTTTGTGTAACCAATTGTGAAATTGGTACAATAGGACTCTTCTGGCCGTAGTACCGGCTGTTGTGCAATTTTCACGTCTACACTTTTAATAATATACTTAACTTAAATAAGAATGGGAGATTAATATGAAGGAAATTGAAAATGAAGTCAGGCAGCCTTTATGGAGGCATCAAATGCCTATGTATTATTATCCCCATTTCTTTTGAAAGATACTGTAGGCTGGTATGGTAGATAATTTATGGATATATATATGTCAAAGCGTAGTTAAATTTTATGCAACAAGTACAGTTTTCTTATAATATTGAATATAATTATTTCTATATAGTTTCTGGTCCTTTTTAGTTTACGGAAAACCACTGATAAAAAAAATAAATAAATAAATAATTTGAACACAATAAACTCTTCTCTGTTTCGATGTTTGATTGAATTAGTAAATTTTTTAAAAAAATTTTTTAGATATATTAGATTGAAGCTATTATTGCGATGTTCTAAGGATTTTATCAGTTTGAAATCATTTTTATTTTATTGTGCGATTGTTGAAAATAAAATTTTACCGATAAGAGCGCATGTGCATCACCGCCCATCTTCAATGAAATTCTCATTTAGTGCCAGGAACTTCTCAAAATTTTCCAAGTTTCTTATGGAAGCACCAAGCAAAGCAAAGAAAAGAAGGTGAAATCCTTTTTGTATTGATTTTAGTGGCGCTTTTATGCGCGCATTATCGTTTAGACTGCGATAGTATTACGAGAATTGTTATAGTTATAGAAATGATACTAAAAAGTGATGGGCCAAAGGATTATAGCAGATGCGAAAGCAGGAGGAGTTGTCTCTGAAGCATTTGCGAGAGCATAATTGTAAGTGGATAAGAAAAGTTAAAGTTGTACTAAGAAAAATTGTGTTAAGTTGCGTTTTGTGCCTTTTTCTTTAGATTTTATGACGACAAGGATTCTTATTGGTCACAAGATATTTTGTTATAAAATCTTTTTTAACTTTTTCTCAGATGTTTTAAATTAAATAGTTTTTTATTAATAAGACTAATAAAACATGTCTGAAGAACAAAATAAAATCCTTATTTATAATTCAAGTCATATTTTGGAACTTTTCTGACAAAACGTACAAAAATATGTCAAAACAAAATCTCCAAAGTCCTAACAAAACCATCAATAAGTTTTGATGTCATTTCAAACACCAGTTTATTTGATTTTTAATAAATAGGTATATGTACATATGCAAGAAAACCAATTATTAAGTACTCAGAATTACAATATCAACTTTTCCAAAGAGCACTCAATATAACTTTTTTCTGTCAGAAGTCAAATTATTTTCATCATGATTATCAAATAGTTAAACAGCTCACCACACATTATCCATTTTCTATTAAAAGTTCGATTAGTTGTCTTCATCATTTACAGCTCGACGTGAGCTTAAGCTTTGTCATACATCATAATAGATTATTTAATACGAACAGTTGTTGTTATAGCGCCGATTGAGTTCTTACACAGTTAACGATATCTGTTCATGTGACTCTATTCGTTGCAAATTGCTCCCAAATTTGCTTTTGAATCTTTCGCGTGTCATTTAATACGCTGTCGTCATTGACAGCTAGGCAGGAATCAACTTTCTGCCACTTACTTTCAAATTTGCAATTAAATCTTTCGTACGTCATACACTACGCTGTCATCATAGACAGCCAGACGGTAATCAAAGTCTTTTAATCCTTCATCATAAAGTCAAAAATAGTAAAAGCATATAGAGAGATATTCGATGAGCCAAACTGGTTGACTAACATCACTCTTATTTGGGTCCCTGGACGAAGAAACATAGAAGGGAACGAGAAAACTGACCGTTTAGGTGCTTCCCTGGATGCGTCCCTAGCGTTACTGGTTTATGTTAATCCAGAGACCTTTACGAGAAGTACTTAACTCTACTTTCTTCGGCTTGCCAATAACTAATGGAAAGATGGCCCACCTACAATAAAACTAAATCTTAAGAACTCATTCAAATGGATCGATTGAACACTGCAAGGCTTACTGCAATTCTTTCTGGTCATTGGTCTATAGGAATCTATGTGGAGAAACTGTGCATTCTTCATAATTCCTAACAATTCCTCATAATTCCATAATGCAGCAGAAGTTCCTCAGCAGAAGCTGTGGAAACCTGCATGAAAAAGAAACCATTAAACACTATTTCTGTGAATGTCCAGCTATGGCGTCCAGAAGAAATAAGTGAGTTACAGAAATATGGTAGGTAAAGACGAAAGACCTATTAAATTATCTAAATTTCTCGGGATGGCACTACACAATCGAGCGATCTTTCTTTAGCCCTTCTTTGCGTTCTATTGTTTGTAAGATTTTCTATCACAGATTATAATATAAGGCAAATAAAAAGTAATCCTCGTTTAATATTGCCTAACGTGTATACCATCGTAGTTTCCAACTTAAAGTATGGTGCCTTAACACCTTTTTAGATATAGTTTTAAGTTTCCTCAGCGTTATTAGCTTTAACTTATCTAGTATTGGAAAACATTGTATTTTGAGAGTCTATTTTAGTTTGGAAAATAGAAAAGATTTGCAGACTGTCATGTCCAGAAGGAAAGGTGGTGGATGCTTCAGAGTAATGTTATGGCTAACCATGAACAAATTCATATACAAAACATTCCTAAAAATCGTTTTGCATAAGCCGTATGATATTCCTATATCTTCAGTAACTTCAATAATAGTAAATATTCTACCAGCAAGCACAGTCTGTTTATTTTTTCTCTTCGTTTTCAATATTGATAAACAAGTTAGTGCTCTTCCACACTAGTGGCTGCCTAAAAGTAAATACTCACGTTACTGATAGTGCAAATATTACACAAAAAAGACTATATAGGAAAATTAAGAGAAGTTTTATCTTAATACGTTATATATCGATATATTGTTTATACAATGTATGTAGAAAAATATATAGTATAGTGATATATAGTGATTCAATATTCTCACTACTTTTTGATTATACTCCATATTATTATTATGTATTATTATTACTAAAATCAATAAACTTCATTCCTTACTTGAGGTTTTTTTATTTACTCAGATATATTGTATAGAGTATATATAGATGAATATAGCCAAAATATAATTTTAAGTTATTTGAAATTTTGTTATAACATCCGAACTCTTATATTTGAATTCACAGATCTCATTAAGGACGATTTTCATTTATTTGGTTTAATTCTATGGAAATCTAAGGTGGTATCGAAAAAGTCATTAAGTTCAGGAACCGTATCTAAAGTGACACGGCGTTTCGGAGTTGGCTTCGATTTTCTAAGCAAGTACCTAGGACCAAAGTTAAAGACTTTAACACTGCTTGCGCGGTGGTGTAATGCTGTTGGTGAACCTCTGCGCCACATATTGAAAATGCCATCGGAATCAATTATATTTTTATTTTTTAGAAAAGGTCTTGGAGGTGATCTTACTTCCTCATAAATATTACGATGAATATGTTTGGAACTCAAGATATTAGCTTCATCGTTAATAAAGTATGGATTAATCTTCTTTTGACCCCTGGGATCTCTTCCAATTCTTGAAGGTAAATACGGTTTAATAGTGTCTTTAGGGTCACCTAATTGCAGGTACTTGTTGATGCTATGTGTAGGTTTAGCGTAGTCCATTTGAAGAAATTTTTTGGAGTTGACTGTACCTTTAGTGTAAACCTTGTCAAGATATTTATTATTGTTGTGTGCATCTATTGGTTTATCTATTTGAAAATATTTATTGGTATTGTGTATTGTTGGTAATTTTTCGTCGTTTGTAAAATATTGTTTTAATGGATCAGAAGTTGTGAACTTTTGGAGATGATCAATCGTTTGTAATTCTTTGGAACGAACAGCTTGGAAATTATTTAAATATTGCATTGTATAAACTTTTACTTTATGTTCTTCGATGTTCCTGGAACTACTAGCAGCACTTTCAACATTTTGCACCTCTTTAGAACCTTTGTTTGTATTCGACAAATTTCTTGTTTCTGGCTGAGAGTTATCAAAAGAACGGTTCTCATTTCTTAATCTCTTCAAGTATGTCGTTGCACTTGCATCACCTTTACCAGTTAAGTGTGGCTTAAGTTTATTTGGATCCATTTGAAACCTCTCTTTTATAATTGTACGAATGTCCTTGTTCTTATTTTCTTCCTCAGACTTTTTCTTTAATTTCGGGGTGTCCAACACCTGAGGAGGGGGAGTTGCAATTTTTGTGCTGGATTGCCTGGTGGAATTAAATAATAAGAAGTATATTTCGACTTCCATTATTAATATATACAAAGGTATATATGTTTAAATAAACTTGCGGATTTATTTAAAATGCTTTTTATATATTGTATTTGCTTACTTCCTCTTGGGTCCCACTTTGCCCTGCATAATTAATTTTCTAAGTTTCTTTCTGGCTAAAATCAGAAGCTGAGTTGTATTCTCGTCCTTTTGTTTCATCTTAACGGAATTCTGAAAAACGAATATATATATATAAAGATGATTATAATTAATTACAATAAAGTTTTCATCAATATGGAATTTTGTTCATTTCAATACCAGCTACTTCGATATACACCACAATTTCACGTATTAATTTGGAATAAAGACAATTTAAAACAAAATTTTAAAATATATTGTTGAATTTATATAAAAACATTTAACATTGAATTTTTAAATCAAACTAGGAAAGATTGCTATTTCAAAGGATGGTCTTCTGCAAATTATTCTTATTTGCAGAAAACTACGGTAAAACAAATTTTACAACATTTAGTTATTTTTATATATATATTTCAAAATTATATGCTAAGAAAACTGTTTCAACAATTTAATAAATTTTTTTGATATTTTAAAATAACAGAATTTCAAATCATATATTTTAAATGTCAAAAAATTTATATATTTTGTATACTCTGTTATATACTATATTTATGTATTTCGATTAAATAATTTCGATTATTCTATAATGGTATATGCAATGTTATAAAAAAAGTTAAAGTTATTTTTTTGAAAATACTATCAATATAGAATATAGTTAGTACAAAGCTATATGATTAGTTCTAGATGTTGCTGTTCTCAAATTCTTATATTCTTAATGTCCTCAACCTAATATATACTACAGCTCCAAAGATATTCAATGTGTCTTACAATGATCTGTATTAATATCTTCCTAAAAAATGCTCATATACTCAAAATCCTCAACCTAAAATATACTACAGCTCCAAAAGATATTCAATTTTTCTTCATTCGACTCAAATCTTTTACAGCCCAGCCTTATCTTTAGGTTGAGAATATGCTGGATGGTGTAGTAGTTCGTATCCCAATTCGTGGATATTGCCCAGTAATGCTTAATCAGTACACGAAATTCAATTTTTTCCATTTGCGTAAAAATTCACGAGGTTGTCTGCTTTGAACGGCTATCAAACACCAACTAAACGACGTAGCTTGCTCAAAATTAGAAAGATTACAGTTGATGGTAGCACTGTAGCATTTGGAGTTACTGTGCGGGAAATTCAAAAAGTTATCAAACCGCCTCAAATTGACTTATCAAACCGCCCTTGTTGTATAAAGAGACTACAATTACACTTAATAAAGTAACTTGTCCCAACAAAATCTAAGAAGTACCTAAGAAAGTAATCGTCATTCACGGAATGATGAAATTTGGACTCTTGCGTTAAAGCTATGGGAAAAGATCTTTTAAGAATTTTTATATTAGAATAATTGGGGATGATAATAAAGACGATAAGCCTTAGCTGGGCTATAAATGGGCTCCATTCAAAACCAAAAATTAAAATAATTTATCCGATTTTATTGTTCTTTCCGAAGCTTGGTGTGGAATAGTCTCTATGAGGTTTAAAATTAACATTAATATGTTCAGCGGTTGTTCAACGATCTATAAAATGACAAGCCTCAACCTAAACACATGTTATCTAGGATTACAGTCACACTTCATACAAATCACTGAAATAGTGCTGCCAAATTAATATAACGACATTGACAAATTTTAATCATTTCTACTAACATAATTGTAAAGAATTTTCCACGTTCTGTATTATTTCAAACATTTTCATATTTTTTTTCCATAAGTTTCTGCAGTTATTTTAACAATTATTGCCTTTTCATCCGTTAGAAACTAAATGATGGATTAATTGCTTAAGAGCTAGTTCTTGGATTACTGCCTACGCGATCTTACATTCGAGTCAAGATCCTCATAGGTACATATTATTCCATTATATACGCTTGTGATATTTACTAACCCTTGAAATGTTATGTAGCCCCAATTTGACTGCAATTTATTTATAAGGATTTCAAAAATAAAATTTAACTGCTTTTAAAAGTTGTATTTCATTATATTTTGTGAAAATTAAAAAATTCTTTCACAAATAAATTTGAGAAAAAAGGTAAATATGAACGAAAAATGAATATAAGTGCTCATATGAAATATTTTTAAGTCCACTCACATATCGCGAAGACCATTATCGCATCCCTAAACCAAACCGAAGTAAGCGAAAATGGATCCGTGAAAATTGCTTTCATATTTCAGGTGATAATGGTTTCCTTATGTGAATTTACGAAACATTAATGCTACTGTGTACGGGGTACACATAATTTCCCAAAAAAGCAATTCACATTAATGACTTCAGAATTCCATTGGGATAAACTCAACTAAAGAGCAAACGTAAAAAATGAGAACACAAACGGAAATGGAAATGGCAAAAGGACTTTCACAACCTTCAAATACAAAAAGCGAGGCTAACAAGGAGCCTCGCTTCTGTTTGCTCGGTTTCTGGCGTGGAACGATTTGGTTTATTATAATGGATATTTGTGTTTGTATACGTGCAGGCAGTACTATGGAGTGATAGGAGCATATAGAATGGTTTGAGGTTATAAGGATATATGAGGCGATAAACGAGATTAAGAATATTCGTTTTTTATGCCATTATACATTTTTTGAACCTGATATGGCCAAAAACAACCAATACAAATTTTAAAGCAATACAGGTACATGCGCAAATCATGCTGTTTTTCGATTTTCCTGCTATGTGTCTTATGGGAAATTGAACCGAATTTCCTTTAAAAAACTTAAAACTGCGACAATTGCCTTTTTAACTGTAGAAGGTCAACGTAAATTACGCACAACGGATTACTTTTTTGCGCTACTAGAACAGAGTCCATGCCTTTCCATGCAATTATCTTAAAATGTTACCTGTTAGGAGCATTTAACTTTAATGGGTTTTCTGTATTCCGAGAGACAAGTACACAAATGATACCATTTTTTAATAATTAGATACATTTTTTACGATTATTGTAGTTCAGCTCAAGCGTGGAATATGGTTCGATACAATTTTTTAATGACAGTTATTAACCTTGATTTTATTATGACACCAAATTAATATTTTCTTTAGACATTCTATGTGAAATGAAAAACATTCTTCTATTCAAGTTGAAGGTTTTCGTGAAAAAGTTAAAAAATATTTTGTTATTCAAGAGGTACATATAATAGAATTGAACTTATGTCGTGTGGTTTCACCTGTAGATTAATGAACTGCAAATATAAACACTAATTGCCGGACCATTGCTGTGTATTAGGAACTGATTTGTATAGAGCATAATTGGGTTTAAACCATTCAAAATAGTATTTTTGGAATATCTCAGTTTACTAGACTTTATAAAATCAAAAACTATTCAAAAATTCAATTAATTATGTTCAATTCAAATAATTAAATATTAAACAGTTTTGATGTAGCGATCCTCTCTCCAAAATTAAAAGTAGTAAACCAACAACTAATAAAGTAATAAAAATATTGAAATATATATAGTACCCAACTCAACTTTAACATCAATCCTAAAATTATGAAGTTCAATATATTGTATGAGAACACTAAATAGATGCAGATCAATATATAATAATATATAATATTTGTACCCACATTGAATTAATGTGTGTGATCATTTCCATTGACAATCCTTCGTATTTTTCTTCTTACATTCAATTAAAGTACATTGCTAGCATGGCCGAAATTAGGAGGGCCGCTGATATACTGATATGATATTATTATATATTTTAAAGTGTACTAAGATACTCCCCCTTTAGTCCTTTTTCTTTTTCTTTTTGGCTTATATCAGCTGCTATATTTTACCCCTAGTTCATTTTATTCCTAGTTCCCCTTCTTTTACCTGATTAATAGTGTT